GTTACCAAACATTAATTAATGAATAAAGAAAAATATTTTCCTCTTTCCTTCTCTGACGCGTTTTTGGCTGTTGGTTCAGGAGTTTCTGATGCTCTTTAATGGCGGAATCCAAGTCAAAGGACAGAGGGATCCGATAGAGAATTAGGGTTTTACGATTATCGATTGCGAAAGCTAGAACTAGAACTAATGACGTTGACGAGATTCCAGATACGGAACGAGTACGGATTGGCGGATAAGGAGCTGTACCAAGCCGCCGATAAGGAAGATCCTGAAGCTTTGCTCGAAGGTGCATCCATGGCTGGACTCGTCGGCGTTTTGCGCCAGCTTGGCGACCTCGCCGAGTAAGTCTCTCTCTATGGCTTGAATTGTGTGGTCCAATTCCGCATTGTAAATATGGACAAAACTTGCCAGATTAGGGTCTCGTCGTTTTTGATTTTAAAAATAAGTATAGGTTAAATGATGGAGTATGGATATAAACGAAGGTAGATATGGAACCCAGATTTGGAATCGAGACGATCTGATCTTTCTTCTTTTGGTTGGATATTGTAGACTGTATTCTTTTAATTTCTGAGACCAGTTGCTCATTTCTGTTTCACATCATAAAGAGTATATGCTCTTTTGTTTCCTTTATACCAACCAATAAGGTTTGCTGCTGAGGTATTCCGTTGCCTGCATGAAGAACTAATGACAAGTGCAGCAAGAGGGCATGGTTTGGCAATGCGTCTCCAACAGCTTGAAACAGAGTTTCCTTCGATTGAGATACCCATTCTGTCTCAAACCGATCATTCAACTTTCTTTTATGATCCAGGCAAGTCATCTTATTCTGGCTATAATAAAGGCTACAAGAGCTGTATAAACTGTTATGGAGTCTTATTCTTGCTTTCAGGCTTGGGATGGCATCCTAATCTGCAAACACAAGAAAACCTGATTTCCCCACGCAACTTGCCTCGTTGTATCATGGATTCATATGAGGAATGCCGTGGTCCGCCGCAGCTCTTCCTTCTTGACAAGTACATTTTCGTGATTCACAGCTTAACTTAGCTTTTACAAG